CCTTTTCTTACGTCATCGTATCATATCTTCATGGGCTTCACACTCGTCCAACAATTCAGCTTCTCACACCTTATCGGTTGATAACACGAGGGAAGCAAATCCATGTGGAAGCTAGCGTAATCGTCCCTTTAAAAAAAAGACTGATCATCGTTCGACGATTTATTGACTTATTCACTTCCATTTCAGCATTAGTTCCCACTATTGGACCGTCATATAACTCCACGCGACGATTTACTTGCTGGCCCTCGTTTTCGCTTTGGATACCTACCAATTAAATGGAACGCATGCATAGTAATGCGTTTCGGCGTAGTTGATCCGCACGTTCATGGCTGTAAACACATAAGTGCTCGATTACAATAGCACACGACTAACCATACGCTGTCTTCGACGGGATGGAACGGATAGCCAATCCAACACTGCTTCACGTCCCATAGCCATGACTTGTTCCACAGCACAACACATCCATAGACAAAGGCGAAAGTATAGTAGCTGAAGCGCCAGAAACACTCCAGTATCCGTTTCGGTCGTGTCTGTCGAGCGAATCCTCCGGTTAGATGATCGAATATCTGGAAGGAAAACATAAGGGGGAACCAAGAGAGCCGTATACTCGCGTAGAGTGTGAAAGCGCAGTGCGATCCGTTTTGACGACACCTTTTCAGAATGGACTCATTCCCTACTAGCAGTAATCTGACCTTAAATGCAGTTCAGGGTCGGTGAGCGAGAACCGACCCTGCATTACATTTGTGTCCATCTTGGGAGAAGGTTGAAAAATTACCGATTCCAAGGTACAATGAATCATTCCACATTGTTATACAGGTAGCTAGTCAAGCACCTCATTACTAGCAGATTAGTAACGCTACTATGCAGTAATTTGCCCCAAGTGAGCGAAAAACATCGTCGTTTCTGGAGAGCCGACACGCCTGACAGATCTCATGCACGATTCTATGCTAATGAGTCCCTCAAAGGGAGGACTTCAATCCTCAAAAAGCTTATAAATCAGCTCGATATGCATGGAAGGGAGCTACTAGGAAAACATTTCAGGGCTGGGAGTAGTTGAAGCACTGTTGAGAATTTTTTTCCATGAGGGCAGAGACATTCTTTTCCCATACATTTTCTTGCTTATCGTTAGAGGAAGCGACTACGATAGTGGGAGCGCATTGGACAAACATAGTATGCGCCACATGAATTAGTAGCTCGGCTGTCAGGGAAGGGGAGGAGCGCTTCCAGACGAAAAGTTTGCGGCTTGCTCAGTATTACTTGAAAAACGCCACGCCCATAAGCGCTCCACCCACTAGTTTAGTTGGTTGATTTGGACGAGCTGTGTTGCCAGCAGCGGCACAACTGGAGCAACTCGACTGGAGCATGGTTTGGCATGGTGCCATCAAACGCATTGCGGCAAACTCGTCCGCTATCTTAGCCGTTGCCCGTCCATGAGCGAAAATCAAGGGAAAAACATGAAGGATTAGTTTCACGTTTTTTTTTGACGGATCTCTCCTTTTTTCACTATTGGCATGCACACCATTGAGCACCCCATCCAACGAGACTAAGGTGGGGAGGGGGGGGGGGGGAGGATGGTTGAGAAATTCGAAATTGAACCGCGAGCGCCTGTGTGTTGGTCCTTCTTGTCTCCCATTCAAAACTCCAAATACAACTCTGTTCTTAGAGAAAATCCCAACGGACGATTGACTAAAGATGGTGCCGTAATTATGTCGCGGTCGAAATTGCTCCTCACAAGACCACTTCTTTCACCGAAGTTTTCGTCAGAGAATTGAAAATAAAGCTTTTACTTTGGAAGGAAGCCCAGCAGTAACTGGAAAAATATTCTAGCATTGGCCGCTGAGCTAGGAAACTTTCTCAGTGGTTTTTTCGACGCCTGCGTGAGAAGATTGGGGCAAGACTTTAGCCAGTCCGTGGAAATCGCTCGCTTTCACACTTTTTTTGTGCAGACCACCTCTTATTTTTCGTCTTCGGACTTATAATTGCTTTAAAAGAGATAACCAGAAAGTTTCCGGCTTTGTAATTCAAAGACAGCGATTACGATAGGTTCTCCAGCGGTTTGGATGGGGTGCTCAATGGTGTGCATGCCAATAGTGAAAAAAGGAGAGATCCGTCAAAAAAAAACGTGAAACTTAATCCTTCATGTTTTTCCCTTGATTTTCGCTTATGAACGGGCAACGGCTAAGATAGCGGACGAGTTTGCCGCAATGCCTTTTGATGGACCACTCTAGATGCTCCAGTCGAGCTGCCTCCAGTTCGCTCCGCTGGACGGACAATCACAGTATCGCTCAAATAACCAATTAAACTAGTGGGTGGAGCGCTTATGGGCCTGGCGTTTTTCAAGTAGTACTGAGCAAGCCGCAAACTTTTCGTCCTGGAAGCGCTCCTTCCCTTCCCTGACAGCCGAGCTACTAATTCATGTGGCGCATACTATGTTTGTCCAATGCGCTCCCACTATCGTAGTCGCTTCCTCTAACGATAGCAAGAAATGTAGAAATTGATTGATCTCTGCCTCATGCGGAAAAATTCTCAACAGTGTTTCAAACGGACGGCGCCCTGAAATGTTTATTCTTTTTTTTTTTTTTTTTTTTAACAAAAAAAAAAACTGCTCCCTTCCATGCATATCGAGCTGATTTATAAGCTTTTTGAGGATTGAAGTCCTCCCTTTGAGGGACTCATTAGCATAGAATCGTGCATGAGATCTGTCAGGCGTGTCGGTTCTCCAGAAACGGCGATGTTATTCGCTCACTTGGGACAAATTACTGCATAGTAGCGTTACTAATCTGCTAGTAATGAGGTGCTTGACTAGCTACCTGTATAACAATGTGGAATGATTCATTGTACCTTGGAATCGGTAATTTTTCAACCTTCTCCCAAGATGGACACAAATGTAATGCAGGGTCGGTTCTCGCTCACCGACCCTGAATTGCATTTAAGGTCAGATTACTGCTAGTAGGGTATGAGTCCATTCTACAGGGTGCGCCAAAATTACGGAGACAACGCATGAGCAAACAATTTGAACTGATATTCACAGATGCTGTTTTCTTCTGTCCTAGTTTTGGTACTGTGGTGTAGAATTGTTTATGCTTACCTTGTTCAACCACCAAAATCTATGGTAGCTGCAGCGGTTGACTGATACTGACACCGTCCCTAAATCATTGGACTTCGACGTTGAGGGTTTTTGGCACGCGACAATTATCATCGTTTTGGTGTATACCCGAGCACTATCAATAGATGCTCCAAGTGGTACAGGGGACAAGAAACAAAATTGCAATTCGTTCTGGCCGTGAGAGTGACGTGTTTGTGTGACGACCATGAGCAATCTACGGATGGTATGCGATAGAATTTGCAGGTAGTTGACGCGCTGGTTTCACTGGATGTCACGAGAGATAGGAATCAGGGGGGCTCTTTTGGACTTATCAGAGCCCATTGCTATCCTGAGTTTATTTTCACTTTGAAAATCGTTGCTGGGCCTTCCATCAAGTAGGAGCTCCCGTTTACGAGGCAAGGGTGGTTCAGTACTAGTGCAGCATTGATGCAGAACCGATTTTTTCGACTTTGTCGGCTTAAACGGTGGTAGAACAGCATTTCAGATCTGAGCTCGATAGGGTACGCTGTCGGATCCGTTCTAGAAGCTGAGGCTTGCATAAAACACATTATGTCTAGGGATTCGTTGAAGAAACCGCTCTAAAATGAGCTTGACGAGTCCTACTCGCCACATTGCGTGCCACAGTCGATGGTTCCTCGATGTTTCTGAGGACCCGTATAAACACAAACCAAGGAATTTCAAAAATTGCATGGATGTCGACGATTCAGAATGGGACTGTGCACGTCACTGCATTTTTGTTTTCAAAGAATTGCACCTTGCTCATCCTAGGCAACTCGAAGTCGCTGTCTCCGTAATTTTGGCGCACCCTGTAAAAGGCGTCGCTAAAACGGATCGCACTGCGCTGTCACACTCTACGCAAGTATACGACTCTCTTGGTTCCCCTTATGTTTTCCTTCCAGATATTCGATCATCTAACCGGAGGATTCGCTCGACAGACACGACCGAAACGGATACTGGAGTGTTTCTGGCGCTTCAGCTACTATACTTTCGCCTTTGTCTATGGATGTGTTGTGCTGTGGAACAAGTCATGGCTATGGGACGTGAAGCAGTGTTGGATTGGCTATCCGTTCCATCCCGTCGAAGACAGCGTATGGTTAGTCGTGTGCTATTGTAATCGAGCACTTATGTGTTGACAGCGATGAACGTGCGGATCAACTACGCCGAACGCATTACTATGCATGCGTTCCATTTAATTGGTAGGTATCCAAAGCGAAAACGAGGGCCAGCAAGTAAATCGTCGCGTGGAGTTATATGACGGTCCAATAGTGGGAACTAATGCTGAAATGGAAGTGAATAAGTCAATGAATCGTTGAACGATGATCAGTCTTGTTTTTTAAGGGACGATTACGCTAGCTTCCACATGGATTTGCTTCCCTCGCGTTATCAAACCGATAAGGTGTGAGGCAGTAATTGTTGGACGAGTGTAAGCCCATGGAAGATATGATACGATGAGATAAGAAGGTGCGGCTGCTTGATAAGAGGTGCACTCCAGAATGAAAACGGGACGATAACGATAACGGTATCATATCTAGCACGCTCTTATGCAACCTTTCCACATCGTACGTTGTGTTTTGCTATCCGGCAGTGGATTTCCTCATGACCTTTACCCTTGGAAGTTCCAGTGGCCTTATAAAGCCGTTGATAAGGCGCCACTTCCACTGGAACTTCACCTGTTATAACAGTGGGTGGGACCACTATCCACTATAGTTCTCAGCATTCCTTATTGTCTTGTCCTGATTGGAATTATCTGCCCACTGCCTCCAGGAGCGCCACATACACTTATTCTTTTTCGAGTTGTATATTTAGTGAGTAATGCTTTTTGGGAAAGCATGATCTGATTTATTGAAAAGGATAAGCTGTTCTACTTCGGCATCGGAGAAGGAGGAGATGCAGCAGCAGTGGGGGAGGGTTGTAGGCTGTATGGGCACCTGGCTTTAGTATTTCACCGTGAGGACAGTTGGTAAGAAGTAATCATAGGAAAACTTGGAAAATTTTGGCAATCCAGAAAAAAGTTGAGATTTGTGGCAATTTGTACCATTTTGGTAGGCAAAATTTCGTCCCAGCGACGTCATGCGTAGGTTTTAGGATTTGGAATGGGATGGAGAACTGGGTGGGTGATAAGTGTAACCTGCTGAGCCCAACCCACCTTCTGCTGACATTTTCACCTATCGGTGGTGAGAGGAAGTATAATAGATGGGAATGTAGGGCGACTGGTTTGAGCAATTTTGACGAGTATGTTCATCGTTTCGGACTTGCTTGTCGTACTGACTTCCATGAGCTGCATGAGCCCTTCACCTATTAGCTTGTTGCCCATTGCCCGAGTTCGGAAGGATGGTAAGCTTGTTTCCAGTAGTTCAGGTTCAGTCGTACTATTGTGCCTGGTAGCGCGAGTTTTAGACCTATGTCGTGACAGCGGACACGATCACGCACATCACTGTATTACCGAATGATAAGTAGATAGGGTAATGCACTAACCGTTAAGGGATGAATTTCAAGGAACTGGGAACTAGATTATGGCCAAGGTAGAAAGTTGTAAGCTGAGATGAGTGTGTGCGTGTAGCCTGTTTACGAACAAAGGGAGGATTCCCTTAGCTAACTCCATATTTCGATAAGGGATCAGAAGGAAATGGTCGTGAACAAGCAACCTTAAACGCTTTGCGCAGTATGTTTCAAGTGGAGTGGTCTTCGGGGCACGACATGTTGGGAATTACTAGGGTTGAAAAAAGAAGGAGAAGTTGTCATGTGAGGGAATGAAAAACTGCAAAGTCAATGAATAAAGGCTAACGCTGACGTCCACTCTTCGGTTTTATTCGAAATCGGGTTAATTCGTGAATTTGCCCTTTTCTATGTATACTTGAAGTAGGATAAGGTGAGGTATGTCGAATGAGGAGAAACTCGCTAGGAAATTGACAGGCTGGTCCACCTAAGGGTGAGGGACACTGCAATTTCCGGAATGGTATGCCCGGCAATCTAGCAATAGCCGATAGCGCGGCGCTCTGACGCTCCCGCCATCCGAATCTGCTAGCGCTACCCGCAGTATATAGCGTTAGCAGCGGTTCCTGATTTTGGGCCTGACTGAATAAACCCACGAATATTTTGACAGATTTTGTCTTACAAGAGCAAAGACTAATGAACAACTACAGGACTGGAAAAGTTGTTGAGAATCATATGAACTGATGTACTGCTATTTTTAGGTGGTACTACATGATCGAAACATCATTCTACTACTCGTTACTGTTTGGTGCATTCTTCGATGTGAAACGATCCGATTTTTGGGAAATGATTATCCATCATATCGTCACCATTGGCCTTCTGTCCACCAGTTTCACCATCAATTTCGTTAGGTCAGCCACCCTGATTATTTTTATTTGCTTCTGTGTTCCCGTCGTTTAATGATGCTGGTTGTTTTCTTGATAAAAATAAAAAAATGATTTAAATCTGAAAAAAAACGCGTTCAGTAGTATGTGAACGATGTAAAATCCTGTCAACAGGGACTTATTACAAATATAAACAGATACTTAGAAAAAAACAGGAAGCGACGGCATGATTGGGGGTAAGAATTGAGACCAAACTACCATGCTAGGCCTTTTAATAATCCCTTAGTGGACCGTCTGACGGAGTACTGCGAAAATTCAGTCGTAGATTAGTGCCATTTATACCTATGTGAATGGTGTGATAATTACGTTGAGCGGAAATAGCTGCAAATAACCATCTGCAAGGTACAAAAAGTGGGTGATTAGCTGAATGAAAGGAACTTTTGTAGTCTTTGATCTGCGACCTGTCAGGTTTTGCATAAGTCTAGGAACGGTGAGTGTTAGGTCACAGCAAGAGCAAACCACCGAAGTCTTCGGCTAGAGCTCGCCAAATTTTTGAGAAACTCTTGAATCTCTGCAATAACGGACACAAATTTCTATATGATTACACCGTGCTCTTTACATTGCACAATGGGTCATATCAATGGACCTATCAGAAAATGTGAAGTATCAATTTAGTAGACGCTATCGCAAAATACGGAGGCATTCAAGGACAGAGCCGGCCGACGGACGGGGGGGGGGACTTGGAGGACATGAAAAATAGCTCACACACACCCTAGGCCTTTCTACTTTCCCTTTCTCTTGAAGCTTAGTCGTGACTGCAACAAAAAGGGGATGTTTCACGTTGAATGACACCGCAGTTTGCCTTGTCCGGGGAGAACTGCGGCCAAAGCAGCACTTATCAATTAGGTAATTAACCATCAGTCCCGCCTGGAAAAATGTTCATAACCCAGCATCTTTGAAATGACAGTATAGTGAAGACGAAAGCCCCTCGAATACTCAGCCGCGCGATAGGCCTTCCTGCACTGCACTAGTGATATCAGAATGCGAGAGGTGATAAAAACAATCAGGTTCCTTGGGTTGTTCTAGGTGTTCCACTAGTTCCTATTGTGATAAGAGGTTGCTATTTTTGCAGGATTTTCGGTAATTATTTCCCATTCAATCGTTGTTGCCCTAAACAGTACCTACGTTTTCATTTTCGAGAGAAACAATCACTATTTAAACCCTCCGAACACTACCTTAAAGTACCACGATATTTTCTAACTGTTTGTTGTAAAGACATGCTGAGAACTTCTGTTTTGGAAATTTCAGAGCCGGAACACTCGTACTGATCTCACATGATCTTGCTGACATTCTACTAGAGTTCGGTAAACTTACACGGTACGACAGGAATCTCAAAACTTTGACGAATGCCTGCTTTGTTGTGTTTTTGACTGGGTAAGCTTCAGCTGTTTCTGCTCCTTTTCTGTTGAAATTTTATTCATTTATTTTCCTTTTTTTTTCCTATAATATGATCGGGCTAAAAGTTCTGTTCTTTGGCCCTTTTCAAATTTTATATTGCTCCATGTCATACAGTACAGCCCATATCTCGCCTTTTGAGTAGACATGTCACCACGTGGCGGCCACACCCAGGGTAAATATCGGAATATCGGTCTAGGACTCCTCAACGGCACGTCCAGGAATTTCGCCTGATCAGTTCGGCTCTCCGCACGGACATTCACACCAGGGTCAACCGTCACGTTCGAACATTTTCGGGATTTTTGCGACCCCCTAGCTCTCGAGGGGGTCCAGTTGCGACCCCCTGTTTTTGTTAATAAGAGTGCTAGACATGAATCCGTTGCGCCAGAAAGCGTCTGCGCGTCGTCGCGTCGGCCTTGGAGCGCGGCAGGTATCACCCGGGCGCTGGAAGAACGGGACGCGGCGAAGAAAAATTTTAGAGGGGAATAACTTTCTTGGGACGTATTTTTTTGACTTGTTGAGGTAGATTTTGATTGTGCCTGAGGTGCGCTTCCAGAAAACTACAAGGATTGCCTAACTCTCCGGAAAGTACTTCTGTTAGAAGTGGAAAACCCAAAATTCTAAGAAGGCGCACCTTCAACTTTGAAGGCCCATAAAATCTTTCGTATGCGACATTTTGGAAATCTGTAAAAAGTTTCAGAAACTTCAAATATTTCTCTAACAAAATAATATAAAAAGTTTGACGATTGTCCTCTTTTTCAAAAAATCGCCCCGTTCGAACACTTTTTTTGAAATCGCGAGTTTTTGGGCTTTCAGCGGGCATAACTCACTTCATTTTCATTTCTGTGATGCACACTTTCCATGGGGTGAAAGAGCAGGATTTGCTCTTTCTAACAAGCCCTAAACCGTTTTTCAAAGTTCATTTTTCGAGAAAATCACACGTTCGAACATTTTGGGGGGTTTTGCCGAACACTTTTTTTGAAATCGCGAGTTTTTGGGCTTTAAGCGGGCATAACTCACTTCATTTTCATTTCTGTGATGCACTTTTTTCCATGGGTGAAAGTGCAGGATTTGCTCTTTCTGACAAGCACCAAACCGTTTTCAAAATCCATTTTCCGAGAAAATCACACGTTCGAACATTTTGTTCCCATAGGTTTTTGAGCAGCACATGCGAGTTTTTGAGCTTTCAGCAATAATAACTTCCTTCAAAGAACTTGTTGGGGAGGGGCGAAGACATTTTTGAAGACTACGAGATTTCTGCTTTCTTATGTGTTTACCGTTGTCTGGAAGAATCGTCCTCAGAAAATTAGGTCCCGAAGAACTTTAATTTCAGCCCCGAGAAGTCAAACCTTTCATAGGGATGCATTCAACTGTTCTTTAAAAACACTGTAATTTGCCTAAAACTGTCTCTCTGTGCATAATTAATCGAATCTAATGCGGTCTGCACAAACAATTCTTGCCCTCGGATACGCCACGCACGCGCCTGTGGCTGGCAGTCCTCGAAATTGCGACCCCCTTCCGACCAAAATGCGACCCCTTCGTTCGAACAGTTCGAACGGACGGTTGACCCTGTTCATAGTCTGCCATCCGAGCCGTCCGTGCCGTCGCGCGCTCCGTGCCTTC